CCGAAAATTGCCCGCAGCCTAATTTGGATTTATAAAGCATTAGCATCAGGAAACGGGGAAAAATGAATTATTCATCAAATTAAAAGAGCTCAGCGATAATTCAAATCAATGAAAGTTGAATATTTTATAAAAAACTGCTATTTTATTGCGGCTTAGGCATTTCCAATAATACAATATTGTAATTGAAAATGTGTAAATGCCCACACTTTCAGGCCAATAAATGGCTATGAATAATTTATTATGACCTGCATTGTGTGAGTCACGGTAATGAAATCACTTTCAAATGGTTTCCAACATGCAAATGCAGCTCATCAAAAATTTATAAAAACATAAAACCCTTAAAAAATACAGAAATTGAGATTTATTATTCTATTCAATAATTCGTATATAAGCGACTTTATACTGAGTTCAATTTGCGAAAGAAATCGAATTCTTCGATTTTTCCTTTTATTTTTTCTTGTAATAAAATATATATTATAAATAATATTTATTTAATTTGGTCAATGATTAGAGGTTTTAGATTTATATTAGGCCACAAACAAAAATAATTGTATTCAAAATACGATTTCAAATTCCAGGTTCTATATTTAAAATAATTTAAATCCCGTAAAATTTGTCAATCGCATTAAGACCAAAATCTGAAAAAATACATTTAGTCCACGAAATGGGACCAAATGGAATCATAAGCAAAAATTATGCAAATAATAATAAAAAGACGCATAAAAAATTGTGAAAATAATGTTATAGCCAAGAAAAATATACTTAAGAACCAACATACGCACACACACAGTCACGCGCTCTCTCTCTCTCTCTCTCTCTCTCTCGCTATCTTTCTCTGTAAAGCGGCGCTCCCAAAATTTGTTCTCTGTTATGAATATGCGGCGTAAAGCGCAGCAGGCAACAAGAAGAAGAAAAGCAAATGGAATGCCATTGTATGAGGTGTGCTACGAACGGAATCCCTCATGATAAAATCAATAGGATACCAAACAGCTGTGCCGCCGCCTGGCAAATGTAAACGTAAACGTAAACAAGCAAGCAGAGAAAAACTGAGAGAGGCAGGCAGAGAAATGGAAAGAGAGAGAGAGTGTGTGTGTGTGCGCGACTATAAATAGGGCAACGTCAGAGAAAGAGACGCGCGCTCTCTCAATCCGTGGCCGAGGCAGCATTCAGTAAATTTTCAGTTTTCCACTTTAGTCAAACGCAGCTCTTCAACGTTGGCGGTAGCCGAAAATCAAGCGGAAAACTAAACAGCGCGTACACACACACCAACACAACAACACTCACTCAGGCAAATATACAACACTGATACACACACACACACACACACAAATGCGCGCGTGTACAGCGACAGTGTGCCATATGTGTAATCAAAACGGGCCGCACTAAGAGCAAAAGTTTATATATAGAAAATTGTACGCACAGCTGAGGGAAAAATATAAATTCGTTGTGTAGCTGAAAATAAATTTAACGAAAACTACGAACAACAATTTATAAAAATTCTAACTTGATTTTGCATTTTAAGAATTTTTGTTTTTCGTTCTCTTGTTACTTGTATGCAATAACTCAAATATTACGCATACGCCGCGTGTGGTGAAATATAACTGACAAGAAAAAACTGTGAGCCTGGCGCCAGCGTCAGCGTCAGCGCCGCCGCTGACGTCGCGACTCCACCCAAAATTGTATACCAACTTTGGGAGCAAACATAATTTTGGTCAAATGCATTGTGCACTGGATAAGTGAAATATAAGTGCGTGTGTCTAGGTTAACACAATAAATAAAATAAAAACAGATTGAAAAATGCTAACAAAATGTTTGGTACATGCAAAAAGTTGATGACACATTTTGCTGTCATTTTGACCGCATTTCTTGCCGCCCAGCCGCTGTTGTTGTTGCTGATCTGCGGTCCGCCACATGGCGGCCCCGCCTCCACCACATTTCTGGTGCATGCCTCCGCCGCGGACGAAGCGTAAGTTTTCAAAAATTTTAAATTACCAAAACAAAAAACAAAAAAAAAACATAATATTTACCAAAACTTGAGTTTGTTTTCGGCTTCCATGAAAATGTTTTTTAGCGCCCATTAAAGGGCGTGTTCCCATCATCATCATCCACGAGAATGTCCTCGGCCCCTCTTCCACAACGCGTTGTCGACGTCGCTCGTTAATTTTTCGTGCGTTTTATGCTAATTTATTTTGGCATTTGCCATCGTCCCTCACTTTTCTTATCGAATGCCCTGCGAATCGTGCGTTCGGCATTTGGGCTATAATTATGTGCAGGGTATGCGTAGCAAATTATTTGCAACTTTGCTGTTCGAAATGTTCGTTTTACAGATAATTGCTTTTGTTTAAATGTTTTGTAGTTGGCTTTAAGGAAATTTTCAGGCACAGCCAACTTAACGCATGCAATTTCGTGCTGCCAGATCGCCTAAGGTTTGACAGCTAAAAAAAGGCAATTAAGCTGGTGATCAAAATTTAAATTGCTTTAGTTGCTAAAATTTGACTCTGGCTCCTATTTGTCGATTGCTTTAAATGCATATAATCAACAATAAAAGATTTTAAGAATTTGTACCTGAGAGGCGTTCGGCATGTGGGCTATAATTATGTGCAGGGTATGCGTAGCAAATCATTTACAACTTTGTTGTTCGAAATGTTTTTTTCTCGGACATTTGCTTGTATTCAAATGTTTTGCAGTTGGCCTTTAGGAAATTTTCAGGCACAGCCAACTTAACGCATGCAATTTCGTGCTGCCAGATCGCTTAAAGCTTGACAGTTAACAGCTCAATATGAAGCTGATGATCAAAACTTAAATTGCTTAAAAAGCTAAATTTCAACGGAAATCTTTAACAATTTCCATATTTTGTCAGGGATAATATTAAAAGTTTTACACTGTAACTCCTGTTTGTCAATTGAATTATTTAATTGCAAATTAAACTCGCATTGTTAACATTTACCAGCTATTGTTCCGAACGATATACTTATGAAAGCTCACAATTTCTTGGGGAGATATCACTTCATAAACAAGTATTTCAAACGAATATTTACCGATTAAGTCTTAGGATCGGTACGTCTATACGCTTTTCAAACTTCATACATAAAAATTAAATCATTCAATTTCTCCATGACTTTACCAAATTAATCTATACATCATTTTACATTTTTATTATTAATTTGTGCTTTGGGTAGCAAGAATGTTGTGTGCCATAAAGTTTTATTATTTTGGTCAGCTTTTAGATTAAATATTTATTTCTGGCCTGAATCAGCTTTTGCAAGTAAAAACAGAGAAAGGTCACGCAGAATAATAAATACCCTTGCATAGGCATTGCTTATAGTTTTGCGGACATACCTGGAGAAAATTATAAAAATTTACAAGCAAAACAACTTTTTTACGATATTATAGTCATATATTGAGAAGATGCATAAAAGGATCATAGTTAAACTAGGTATATGCCAAGTTTGAATACAATTTCTTGAACAACAAAATGTGTGATATAAGAACGTATAAGAACTTACTTTTTGGTTATTAGTAATATTGATTCCAATCGGACATACAACTTAGAACAGAAAGAATGTGATGTTTTATAATTATAGCTTTTGAACTGAGCCATAAAAGCAGAATGAAGGACATGGAAATATCGATTCAGCTGCTGATACCGAACGAGAATTAAAATATAATTTATAGTTTCTTTTCATGTGTTGCTCATTTCATGCCAAATTTGTAATTACGCCTACAAGGATATACAAAAAACAGCAGCTCCGAAGGCTTAACGCCTAAAAATCAATAAGATTATAAGAAATATTTGAACTTTGAACTATAAATATTGTCATAAGCTTAAATCGCAACATTAACCTTTTAAGTTTAATCTTGCATTTTTACTACTAAATCGGACAGAAAAGCTAAGACCGTACACTTAATGCTTACAATTGTTTAGCTTGAAAATATTAGAGACGTCTTTTAGGGAACAGAACAATGTGGATTGTGTTTCAAATCTCAAAGTGTATGCATCTAGTTTTGTTTTAGTTTAAGGCCATAACGGCATATAATATTTGAAATAAAGTACAACAGCTTTAAACTATATATAATAAATATAATAACTTATAACCGTTATATCCTGCTGGTAGCTTAAACGCGACTTTTAACAATCGGATTTTAACTAGCTTAACTTAAACATTGACGTAGCGTATTGGACGGTCGTCTAGGTTTTATTGTAATATTCTCAGTGTTCTTTTTTCCTGCCTTTTGGCCGTTGCGTGTTTACGCGTTTTGTCTTTTGTTTCGAATTTTCATTTTAGCGCTCGCGTGTGTGTATGTATGTGCTTGTGTATGTGTGCGTCTGTGTGCGTCTGTAAGTGTGCGTCAGCGTATTTGCCCACAAATTCAGCTGCCGCTGCCGAAAACGGCGACGACCTTTTTGCTACTTATTTCGCATGTTTTGTTTTTTTTTTCTGTTGGGGCGCACTTTTCATAAGTCACATAAAAGAATTATTTGTCTGACATGTTGACTTGGGGCCACAGCAGGTACTACAGACGTCTATTTACGCGTAATGCATATTTTATTGGGCATTTGGTAGGGCTGCTGAAAGTCAACGTTCTATTAATTTAACGCCACGGAATGTTTACCTGCGACTAAGTAAACGGCTAAGTAAATACAATTAGCGAATGTAATTAAATCAAATGGTAAATGGAATATCTAATTAACAGGGTTCAAATATTACACTTTGACATGCACTGACCGAAAAGCCTCAGCTGGACAATCCTTCGTTTTTGTTAATAAATTTCAGAGCAACGCCCAGAAAACTAATTAAAATGTACTTATTATTTGGCAATTTATGCATTTAGCCAGATTAATAATAAAAATGTTTGTGGGGCGTGCTACGGAGCTGCCGTATTCTCTATGATATCATCATTTTTAATACGAGATATATTCAGAAAGGTATATATTATATTTGTATATAACAATGCGCTTGTGTTTTTGTTGATTTTTCGCAGCGTTCAAAGTTGCTTTTATAAAATAGAATAAAATACTTTATTTAATCAGCTTAAGCCACGCGCAATAATTTAAAGCGTAACAGCTTATTTAATATTCAGATTTGTGCAAATAAATATATATCAACAGATATTGGCTATTCCTGGGTCACACATTTGATAGTCGTGAATGAAAGGCACAATATTGCAATATTGCCATTTACCACGGCTTGAAAGGTGTAAAAACTATCGAAATTTGACTTTAATTTTTTTTATATCAGAGTTTATCCGTGTTGTCTCCCATGCTAAGAATTATATTATCTATGAAAATTACTTAATTTATGCCGTTAAGTCGCACAATTTAAGTTCAAATAGAATGAAGAAGAAAGACAACAAAATAAGAACAAACTGGCAAAATACTTTTTAATTTATGATCGTGGCATATCTAATACAACATTTTATGCGATTTTTTCGCTCTGGCGCACTGCGCACATTAATAGACAATGGCCATAAGGCAAGCGCACATAAAAAATCAATGTAAATTGTAAGAAAAACCAAAAATAATCATTAAAGAGAGAAAAGAAAATAAATAACACAGTATACAAAGGCAAAAACTTGGCAACTCACAAGCTACGTCCTACGTCCACACCCACGAGCCAGCCAGTCCGATATTAAGTGCAGATAAGAACAGAACCCGTTCAAAAAACAATGTGAGAGGAGCAGACGATGTGGGTGCCCCACGGACTGCTGCCACAAAGGAATGTTGCGAATTTAATTGAACAACTTCAAAATGAGACAAAAAGCTCGTAACTACAACAACAGCAACAATTAAACTTGAGCAGAGGCGGCACTTACGCACAGGCAAATAATTGTGTCAAAGGCAATGGGGCAACTACAAGAGCATCAGGGCAAACCGAAAGAGAAAGAGAGCGAAGAAAGCGGTACAATTGTAAAATCTCATAATAAGTTAAGGGAGAGAACAGACACTATGAGCAGGTGTATAAGATAGTGGACTCAATAATCTAAAGTAATCATCCTTTAAATATATATAAAAAAAGTATTGCAAAACGCCTCTATGCGATTTTCATAAATGTTACCTAACCACTATCACGGATTAGCAGCAGTTAATTTGTAATTGGAATATTTTTTGTAATAAGCTGCTAATTTTTTCTTATTTTGCCTCTCAGTTCTATTTTTTATTTCTCAGTTTACGCGCTCGCACAGTTCTCATTATCTTTTGTTTCTCTCGCACTTACTGTATCTATAGCTCGCTTTTCCGGCATTCCTTGCTCTATCTAAGAACTTTCATTTATTATTCCTTTCGATCAATTCCCTTTCTCAATTTTTACATTCTCTTAATTTCTCTTTTCTTTTACTTTCGCAGCTGTGCATATCGCCTAATAATTTCATTTCCTCCTTACTCCCTCGGCCTGTACTCCTTCCTCTTTCTCTTTATCTTCCATACTTCTTACTATATCCCTACCTTTCTCCCTGTCTCTTTTAATCTCTCTCCCTCTCTCTCTCGCTCTCTTCCTCTCTCACTCTCTTCCTCTCTCACTCTGCTACTTCTCTTTATCTCAAATTCTCTTGATTCTAATGTATAAAATATTCTATATGTTTTATTTCACCTTCCTGCCTTATTTTTATATCCATTACTAGTCTATTATATCTATTATGTGCATCTATTATTTCTCTCTCCCACAAGCACACTCTCGTTGGCTACTCTCTACTTATATTTTCCTTAAAATTCATTTTATCAGTCGGTATACAATTCGGGGTCAAACTAATCGGATCACACTAATGTTATACATGTTTCTCTTTACCTCTCTTACTTCTTTTTGTCTCTTACTCAGTATTTCTCATTTCCTTTCTCTTCCACTGACTCTTTCTCTTATTCTTCTTCACTCAGCAACTCTCTCTCTCTCTCTCTCTCTTTCTGTCATATTTCAGCTCTTTTTTAGTATCTTTCTCTTACTTTCATACAGTCACTGACGTTTTTCTTTCAAATATCGCCTTACTATGTGATTCTCACTAATTTTTTTTGGTAAATTAAAGATATGGCTTCAGTATGCTTTCAAATGTTAATAATTTTAATGTATATCGTATGTATATAATAATAATAATATGTATTTATGTTAGACGCGTGAGGAGGTATTTTAATAGGTCATCTAGTGGCTCTTTAATTATAACACTAGTAAATGTTTAACAACTATAAATAAATATGTCATCAAACAAAATTTTAGCTTTCATTTTATAGATTTAGATACATTTTTTATATACGTAATTAATTGTAGCAGTAGTTATCGTTGGCCGTAACCAAAATAATTGTTTTTATAGCGCACCTTTTAATTTAAGAGCATCATTTTTTAAGAGTATTTCAAAATGAAGAGTTTCATAAACAACCTGCGCGCGCATTATCTGGGCACTTGTTGATTTCTCATACACACACACACGCAACAGTCGCACACACACACTTATGCAATGTCGAAGCACAGCTGTTTCTGCTCGCTGCCTGCGTCACGGCGCTGCAGCGCTGCTGCTTAAACTGTTTTTGGTTTGGCTAGTTTCTTTGCCGCACACACACAAACACACACACACACCACGCTCACATGCACACCTTTTGGCTGTGCTCGTTACCCACACACTCGTGCTAGACATTTGCGCTAATTTAATTAGAGGCCTCGTTTTACTTGCAAGTCGACAGGTGGTTGACATTTCTATACGGGGCAGCTGTGACGTTACCATTTGGCGTTGCCAGACTGCTGACAAGTTAACAGGAACAGGTGTAGGATAAGCCCAATTGGAACTTCTGAGAAGTTGGAGAGATGTAGAAATTTAAATAAGTCCGATTTGGATTTCAGCTTCCAATGTAAGGTTGGGTAGAAAAAAGAGTTCTAGTGGGACAAAACATTTTGTTTTTGTGACTTTAATTTAATATAACCAGAGTCTTGTCAACTTCTGGCAATTATACAGTGTACCACTTCCTACATTTTGTTAGGCCCTCATTTCGACTGGTTCTTGAACTTTTCATAAACCTATCAATGCACAGAGATTTTTTACTTAGTTTTCTAATGCAATTCAACTTCATATTTGCTTTTCAGCGTTGGCAAATGGGCAACCCAATTTGGAGACGAGCTATTTCTGCTGGCCCAAAAGATAACCAAATCGCAGCAGATCAAAGAGAAATATAAAGGGTACAATGCACGCGTGGAACTAAAAAATGGCTCCGAACTGATCAAGTCCATCACAGCGAATGTGGGCAAAATGCTGGCACGAAAAATGGACGCAGTGCGCTGCATACAGGAGAAGGCGGAGAGTGTTAACGAGAACTTTGAGTTCAATCAGACATATGCTGAGGCGAACTTCACATACTACTCCAGCAAGTACTCGGCATTCAATGGTAACAGCTCGGAGCAGTTGGCGCCCAATGAGGAAGAATATGCGTATATGTATCGCGATATGATGCTTAATCCGGACACCCATTTCTACAATATATCCGTAGATACGGAGCACAGCTCGGTGCATGTGCCCTCGAATGTGTGGGATCGTGCGCCGCATGTGCTTAAGACAATACAATGGTCGGAGCAGCTGGATGAGGTGTTCCGACAGAACTATCAGTCCGATCCAGCATTGTCCTGGCAATATTTTGGCTCCGATACGGGCATATTGCGTCACTATCCCGCCGCACAGTGGACAGACTCGCGCGCAAATAAACTGGATGCGGATACCTATGATTGCCGCAAACGTTCCTGGTACATTGAAACGGCCACATGCTCCAAGGATATTGTCATATTGCTGGATCACTCGGGCTCGATGACTGGTCATCGCCATCATGTGGCCAAGTTCACCATACGCAGCATATTGGACACGTTCTCCAACAACGATTTTTTCACAATTTTTCAGTATTCCAGCGAGGTGCAGGGCATTATACCCTGCTTTAAGGACGCACTGGTGCAAGCCACGCCCGAAAACATTGATGTCTTCAATTCGGCCATTGCCGATCTGGAAGATCCCGAGGGCTATGCGAATCTAACGCTGGCCTACGAGCACGCTTTTCAAATTCTACGCAATTATTATATAAATCGTCGCTGCAATGAAACCTCCACCTGCAACCAGGCTATTATGCTGGTCACCGACGGCGTTGCCGGCAATACCACCGATGTCTTTGAGAAATACAACTGGGGTGATGGAGAGAACGGCACCTCGCGCATGAATGTGCGCATCTTTACGTATCTGTTGGGCAAGGAGGTGACCAAGGTGCGCGAGATACAATGGATGGCCTGTCTGAATCGTGGCTACTATTCGCATGTCCAGACGCTCGACGAGGTGCACGAGGAGGTGCTCAAGTATGTCGATGTTATAGCCACGCCCTTGGTGCTGCAGAATGAACAGCATCCGCCTACTTGGACGCATGCTTTTACAGATAAAACGGTTGGTCTGATTCTCTCGTATATTTCCAAAACATGTCTGAATCTTTCATTCTTGCAGTATGATCCTATGAATAGCACAGAACGGCGACCTCGTCTCATGATAGCGGTGGGTGTACCCGCCTTTGATCGTTCCTATCTCCATGAGAACAGCACAAGGAGACGCGCCCGTCTACTGGGCGTGGCCGGAACGGATTTGCCAGTCGAGGATATCGACAAGCTAACCCTGCCCTATAAGGTAAGAGCTACTTGAGACTCTTATGAGAATATATTGAAAGAGCTGACCAATTCTTACAGCTGGGCGTAAATGGTTACTCCTTTGTGGTTTCCAACAATGGCTACATGCTGCTGCATCCGGATCTGCGACCCATTGGCGTAAGCAAGATACTTTTAACCAGCCAGAAAATTGTAGTTACCTATTATCCCTGCTCTTCAGTCCAATGGCAAAATGAATCCCAACTATAACAGCATTGATTTCACCGAAGTGGAGCATTTGTTTGAGGATCAGAATCCGCGTGAGCCTGGACAATCCATATTAAACCTGCGCAGCGCCATGGTGCATCATGAGGCCAACGAGTTTAGGGATATTCCGGTTAAGTTCCATTATGATAAAATGCGTCGCGTCTCGGAAGAGAAACAGGATTATTTCTTTGCGCCGCTGCCCAATACTCCATTTACTCTGGGCATTGTAATGCCCAGCGAGTATGGCAAGACTTGGATCAAGGTGGGCGATGAGGTGGACAAGAACAAGCACATGAAGGTAAACATATCGGAGTTCTTCATTGGCGAAAACTGGAAGGTGCATCCCGATTGGTATGTGGAAGATTGTTTTACCCATAGTCAGGCATTTTCGACTAACGCGCTGTTAATTCCCAATTCCTATCCCAAACAATATTTCTAGGGTCTACTGCAAGTATCACTATCTTGAGGGTCACGAATTCAAGACGCCTGAAGCGGAACTGCGCGAGTTTTTGGTAAAGATGATGGAACTCGACTGGAAGTGGCCGGAACAATATGCCGAAGATGAGTCCGATTGGGATGATAAAGATGATTGTGAGTACTCCATAGCAGTGCCAAACTACAACCAGCGCCAATTAATCTCTCTATCAATCGCAGTAAATTGTGGTCGCAAAACGCTCGGAGATGATGCCTACTATTGCAACAAGGAGCTGGTGAACTTGCTCATCTTTGATGCCAAAGTGACCAATTTTAGCTACGGCGAATGGAAGTTCGAGAATGATCAGGAGCGACAACTAATTGAACGCTTTGGTGCCACACTGCGTTTCGTGGCCACCATGAGTGGCCTGACACGCTGGCAGTTCATCTTTGGCGAGGTGGAAGTGGATACGGATCGGGAATTTGGCGATTATCATACAACAGCCATTGATGAGACCTGGTACAAGAGCGCCATATTGCAGCATCATCAGGAGAACACCGAGAGCTTTGTCTATTCGGTTAAACACTATCACGATCCGCTGGAGGATAGCGAACTCAAGGTAACCGCCTCGCATGCCATCTTTCCACGAGATGGCGGCAAAGAGGCGCCCGCCTGCGTAGTCGGTTTCCAGTTCTCACATGCGCGCATGTGGGAGCGCTTCTTCAACATTACCGCCGTGGATAATGTGAGTGCAGGGGGGCACCAAAGCGAATCAATCGGATCTTTAATTCTTTTTTTTCTACGCACAGTGCAACAATTGCTTGCCCATCTGCACGGATGATGACGTTGACTGTTCGGTCATCGATAACAATGCGTACATTGTTGTTGGTCAGAACATAAACACGACGGGCAAATTCTTTGGTGAATTCCATGGCGATGTTATGGCCGCAATGGTGCAGAAGGGCATCTTCAAAAGCATCGAGGTCTATGACTATCAGGGGCTATGCAAAGTGGAGCCAACAACGCCCAGCGATGGACACAGTTTGTTGCATGTGAGTGCACGGACCACGTAGAAAATTCAATTTTAATTTTATAAATATAATTTTTAACTGCGTGAATTCTGATACAAGCTTTTTTAAAAGGGCGTAAAGCCCTGCTTAAAAATCTGTCAGGAGTCTGTGTGAGACCTGTTCGCCGAATCAAACCTTTGTAAAACATGATTCAACCCCCTGGCTCAAACCGGTTTTTAACCAGTTTGAAACCTGTTTCAAACCAGCTTGAATTCATTCAAACCTGCTTTAAATATGCTTGAGGTCTTTTTATACCTACTTCTAACTTGTGTGAAATCTGTAAGCACCGTTTCAATCCCGTTTGATAACTATTACAAACCTGATAAAAAACCACGTCGTGACATCTTAGAGACCATTTTTATAAAAAATATTAATATGTGTATAACCACATACATATATATATTATATATATATTTATATATTTCGCAGCCGCTACAAGTGCTCGGGCTAGCTTGGAAGTGGTTAATAGCGCAGCTTTTCTGGCACTATCAAAGAGTTCAATGGTGGGTGGATGGTGCGCCCTGTAAGTAAATCGTAGCTGGAAAACCAACTTGAATTAACCAACAAATCGGTTAATTTATTCTGTCAATTAGTTATGGAGTATTTGGACAATATTGAGGATGAATATGTGGCTGTGGGCGACAGCAATTCGCCATCAGCAGCCAAGCCCAAGGAGGATGGCGACGATGGTGAGGCCATATTTCAAGAGCCCGAACCGGAGCCCATTTACAAGCCCTGCGATATGCGTTCAACGCTTTACGCGCTGCAACCCTCCGCCCTGGTGGGCATCAATGACTACATAGAGGTGCCATCGACGCGTCCATTTCTGGTAAAAAAGATACCGAACACGAATCTAGTGCTGATGGTGGTCAATGTACTGATGCCATCGCGCAGCGTACGCCTAACCACCGAACCGCAGCGCATAACCAACTACGAAGAAGAGTTTCCCTGCTACAAGCTGAATATGAGTTTCTACGAGCGTCGCCGCATTGAGGAGTGCTACACGAAGCACGACGATGTGAGCTAACCATTTCAATTTAATACCGATATTTCATTATATTCATAAATGTTTTTTTTAGGAGGAACTGTTCACCTATTGCGGCAACGCCTCACGGCTGGGCCTGACGCTTCAGCTGCTGCCGCTGACCATACTTTTGATGTTTTACTTGACGCGTTGCTTTATGCGCGTCTAGTTTATACAATATATGTGTATATATAAATATATATATACATATATATATATATACTATATACCTATGTACTATTGCGATCTGTTTGTTTTTAGATTGTAAACTATTGTGTAGTACAATTCTAGTCGAATGTTTAACAACAAATAACAGAAACCAACTAAAAAAAAAAACAAAGGCACAATCTTATAAAAAAAAAAAAACTTAAAGCAAATTTAGTAACAACAATTTCAACTCTTAGACTTATAAAATACGCCAAATGTTAAGAATAAAAATCGTTTTACTTTACGAATTACAAAATCGTTGCTAAGCAGTCGAGGAAGCAACTCCTCAAATATTTCTAGATTCGTATAATTTCAACCACTTTTTTAGCTCTTACGGCTGTTTATCGAAAACTTAGAAGGAAATTTAAGTTTTATACAAAAGCATATAGCTGAGAGGCGAACGTTTCATTAACTATTTTGATGGTTTAAAACTGGTAAAACCTATGCCAAATAATAAACAAAAATTGTATGTAAACAAAAATAATTCAAATAATAATTATTTTTGTAATTTTATAAAATTAGTTGATTTTTTACAAATGAAAAAATCTAAAAACACACAAAAGCACACTATAAACCGATCTAGATATAAAATATTTCGTCCCTTTTGCCCAACCGAAGAATATATATATATTACTTGTATGGAAAGTCTTGCAAAATTCTTTAGCTTTTTCGTATACAATCAGATGGATTTTTTAAATGGTAAAAATCAAAGGATATGTTTAAATATAATATATTCTATATAATATAAAATATAATTAATGTATTCAATGTTTTTTATAGATATTTGTTAACCGCTATTCAAAGTTTATATATATGGTTTTTGTATATGTATTGTAATAATGTACGGGAAGTATTTGTAACGATTTTATTGTATTTTATTTATTTTACGCTCGAAAACAGACGAAAATATGCACTAAATTCAAGAAGTTGACTTCGGTTCGGCCGATGCTCTCAATACCCTTGCAGATCTTTAGGACACACAACTTTAAAATGTCTAGAAGAGCCCAAAAATGGTTTCAAATCATGAATGAAATTAAAACTAAAAAAATAGAAAAATCTTCACAATTATATTCTTTAGCCTATTATCGAGATATTTTATGATCTGTTGTATTTAGTTCTTAACTTTATATAAATAGTATCAAAAAAGCTAATCAGATCCGCTGCAGGGGTATTCAAATAGGACCACCTGAAAAGTATGCAATACTTATTTCGAGAACCTCAATTAAGTTGCACAACAAAACAAAAATAACTTCTTATAACTAACTATATCGGTTTTTTGGCTAAACAAAATTCAGCGCAACATTTACACGAGCAACAAGAAATTGTAAAACCAAATACAAAAAAAAAAAAAAACAAAAAACAAAAAGAGAAACAAATATTGTTGAAAAAACAACCCAATTGCCTTTGTATCGTATTTCGAAACATTTTATGAATTTATGCATAGAAAAGTGAATTTGATGCAAGTACGAAGTGTGGTGAAATGTTTTTTAAATTCAGTTTCTTATCGAATTTGAAACATTATTGAAATCAAAATGAAGACGGAAATTTTAAAACTAAACAGTTAACTATTAAATGTAATTTACAAAAATAAAAAATAAAAATAATAACAATGAAACTAAAACTAAACTAATTAAATGTTTACGCGTACTAATACGATATTTATTTTTTGGAGTGTTTAAACGTTGTAAAATGTAATAAACTACTAAACTAAATGATGTGCATAAATATAACTGGTAATAATTCGCTTGGATTTGCAATTCAAAACTGGCGACAACATCGCAATTATTACTATATAATACCAAATGTCCACTAAACTAAAAACCCATTAATAATATTTAATAATAGTAAAATTATTTTTAGTTTCATTAGAAAATTCAGATGCATTAGTGCAAAATTCGTATGCAAAAATTTGATGTTTAAAACAGAAACGGTTTAAAACTGATACAATATGAATTAAAAAAAAAAAAAAAAGGGAAAACAGAAAAACAATTTTACAGCTAATAAGAAAAAAGACCAATAAATGTTTAAATAATAAACGTAAGACTCTGGATGGATAGCTTTCGTATGAATACTGTATATATTACTATAATCTCTAAGCTCTTTTAATATTTTACAGCAACTATTCACTTTAAAAGCGAAAACTTTCCTTTAAATTAAAGTAGCTTCTGTGTGCTAAACCTCGCTGCTGGTTAGCACAGTCTTGAAATAATCGCTGTCCAGCTGTTTAATATCCTTGGCAAACTTGGCCACCAGCTGTGTTAGATCCTCCACATTGATATCCGTATTATTGCCAGCCGTTGATAGCTGTTCTATGGCCACTTGTATCTTATCCAGCAGCGCCTTATCCGCCTCACTTTGCTTGCCCGCATGTTCGTCCTCGAACTCATTGTACACCTCTTGCGCATTTTGTACCACATGCTCCGGAAAATTGGCCAGTCGTGCAACCTGTATGCCAAAGCTCTTCTCCATGACACCCGGCCGCACCTGATACAGCAGCGTGAAGTTATCCTCGTCCGCCACAGCAGCCATGTGAACGTTTTTAACCGTTGGTAATGTTTCGGCCAGTTTGGTGATCTCGTGAAAATGTGTTGCAAAGAGCGTAAAGCATTTCGTTTGTTTTGCCAAATGCTCGGCTATCGACCAGGCTATGCCACAGCCCTCATATGTGGATGTGCCGCGTCCCAGCTCATCAATGATAACTAGTGATTTCTCCGTTGCAGTCTGCGATTTAGAAAATTATAATAAGCTTGCTGGTGTAAAATCTGGCTTTGCCCGTGTTTTCCTAATAATTTGAAGCCATCAGCCGCTCGTGAAGGGTGACATATTCGTCATTAAGGCAGGAACCGCCAATTTCAATACATGGGTTGAAATTTTGGTTATCAAGAAAGTAGAAATTCCAAAGCAGCGTTAACATAGATCTGGGAGTTGAATTTGAATAAATACAACCATACAGGGTGTTGAATTTTGTGATGTTGGTAAAAAAAAGAAGTCCAGTGAGTGCTTGCACAGTGCATAGAGTTGAGTTTTAAGGCAATCGATTCAAAATTTAAAAAAAATTCCTGGCGATATGAATATGGTCGTTCTAACACCTCAAAGCAAAACACAAAAGAAAACTAGCAAGAAAAACAAATACACAAGATGTTCAGTCGAGCACATTTCTGACTCTTTAAAAAAATCCTCAAATGCTTGCCTTATGCCAAAAACATGAGCACAATTAAAAAAAAAAACAGCAAGAACTTTGCAGTCGAATGCTACAGACTGAGTAATGATATTTTCAAATAATGGAAAACAGGCGAAAAGTCTCCATAACAACGCATTTACGCATCGGATGTGTCTCTCAAACTGTAACTGAAGGTAATATGGATCGTAGCATATTCTGGGAAGAGAGTAGGCTTTATCTTATACAGATGTTTTACATTTACGGGGTCGGGAGTGGGCATGACGGGTGGAAATATGACTTTATCTTTGAATATAAAGGTGTTGACAATTTAAATGGCCACAAGTGTGCGTGAGTTTAGAGTAAGGACTCGATCTTTAAAGTACATAATTAAAAACCACCTAATTAGGTGTCTATGGATCTCAAACTGGGGAATACATGGATAGTGGCGCCTAAAGTGGCAGGGAGCGGGCGTAGCAGAAATATTACTATAAAATTTAAGACAGCCGGGCAAAGAAAATTTCATATTTAAATGGATATATTGTGTTACTTACCCTTATAATGCCCGAGGTTTCAATCATTTCTACCATAAAGGTGCTTAATCCCTTAATTATATTATCACTGGCGCCAACGCGGCCTAGTATGGAGTCAACCATGCTTATGGTAGCCATGCTGCAGGGCACAAAGGCGCCAACATGGGCCATTAGAACAGCTGTGCCCACGGAGCGTATGTACGTGCTTTTGCCGCCCATATTTGGGCCCGTTATTATAAACATGTTGCACTTGTCTGTGAAAATACAAAAAGAACATAAACAACGATCTTAAATCTTAAAACAACAAACACGCACCCTTCTCAAAAGCCACACTATTCGCAATAAAGCTCACGTGCTCCTGCAGTTCCAAGCACGGATGACGCACATCCTCAAGCAGCAGCTTGCCAGCGCCCTCGGCTAGCATTTTGGGCCGCACATATGGCGTCGGAGCACAACGTGCGGCTATGGCAAAGCTGACCAGACAATCCAGCTGGGCGAGCTCATTATTTAGGGAGGTTAGCGGAGCCGCATAACCAACAGCCACTTGGATAATTTCCTCGACAATGGACTGCTGTTGCTCCTCATAGCGCGTGCGGCAGCTGGCGAACTCATCTGCATAGCTCTCCAGCTTGTCGGAGGTGAAACGCACGCCGCCCTTAATTACATCCACAATACGATAGTTTTTATTCTTGCGCAGCACAGAATCATCTTTGATTGTGGTGCGCAAATGATAGCCCAGCTTGGCCACATTCTCCAACTTGACCATCTTGCCATCCAAATCAAGCTCCTCACAGCACTTGTTTTGCAGACGCTCCATTTTGTTATACAATTCCGTCATGGTCTGCTGCAGCTCCATGAGGCGATTATCGAAGGTGCTCTTGACCAAATACTCGCCCTTTTCAATGGACTCAAAATCCACCACTTGCTCGACCATTTGCTTCAGACCAGTTAGATCTTCCAAAAAGCTTTTAAAGGGCGCACAAAGCACGCTCTGCACTGTGCTGTGCTCCAGGCTCAATAACAGCTGAAGAATCTTTGGTGTACGCAAAATGACCTGATAAATGCGAAATAGATCCTGCAGACTGGCCTTGCGACGCATCAGCTTCTTGGTGAGCATTAGGATATCCGGTATGCGTTTCAAGTAGTCCATACTTAGCGTATCCAATGTCTCCGGTGACTCCAACAGACACTGCACTATGTTGTGGCGATCATTGAGAATCTCGGAGCTGCGCAGCGGCTGCTTCACCCACTGCGCCATAAGACGATGGCCCTGTGGCGTGCGGCAATGATCCAGCACGCCCAGAATGCTCTGCCAGCGATACGAAGGCATGGTGGGATGTGTGCCGGGCTTGGGCATTATATTGAGAGCGGCCACAGCGGCCGAATCCAAGTGCACAAATCTGCAAAGCACATAATTTAATAAATATAAATATTTAACGTATTATTGAACTATACACACCGCTTTAGGTCCAACTGCTTGAGCTCGTAGTGCCCCAAATTTCCGGCATCATTGATCAAATCCAAATATCGGATGGCCACACGCAGCGCCTCGGCGGCCAATTGCATTTGCAACTCCTTGCGACCATTGGCATCCTCCTGCTGCCCCTTGGCAAAGCGCAGCAGACGATTCAAGTCCTGCAGCAGATCATTGCGCTCGGCGGCGCTGCCACGCTTGGGCACCGTAATCATAACACCATTGCGTTCCAGCAGCGTCTTGACGGCTGTGTATTCGCCATCAGCTGATGGCAGCAGGCACTCTTTGGGACCCAGTAGCACCACGGTCGCCTCCAGTTCGGTAAAGAAATCGTCGTCCACAAATTCAAGCAGCTGAAATGAACAATCGTTTTGTTCAACGGCAGCCACTCCCACTCGACGCTGAGTGCCGCCCTCCAGCTTAACCTGCAGCGATATGATGGTATTGCCCACCAGCACCTCCTTGTTGGCAAACAAAATGTCCTCGAACTGTAACAGATTGCCCGGCGAGCCGCGGTATTCCAGCTGCCACTCGGTGCGTCTCACGTATACCTCGACTCGCAAATTGCGCACCAGTAGCAAATCGCGCACCGCCAGCTCAAAGTTGGCCTTGGACATGGCCACATACTGCAACGTTTCCTGTTTGTCGTCCGGCAGCAGTGGATGCACATACGCCGTCGATTTGTAGACAATTTTGGCCACCTGTTCGCAGTCATCGCTGCCGTGCACCGTATAGCAGTCGGTTTGATCGTAAAAGCGCACTGTCGACCTGGGTTTCTATGGGAAATGTAATCTAATATGTAAATTAACTAAATTCAAACGCAATACAAATCAGCAACTCACCTCTCCCAGCTTGTTGTAGAACTTGATAAAATTGCGACGTGCATTGGTATCTGTACAGCAGAGCGTTTTTATATGGTTAAACTGCAAAATGTGTGTTTATTTGATGCTCACCTAAATGCAACACCGGCTCCTGTCTGCTTACTATAGATTTTCCTTCCATTTTATGGCTTTTAACTATGTTTTTTTCACTTGGTTTTAAACAATTTGCCGATTTACGCGCCACTTTGCCAGAACGACGCGACCAAACTAGTGCTGGTTAACGCCCGAACAAAAAAACAGCTGCAAGCACTGGAATGACACGTGCTAACATTTCGTCGCACCGTGCATCAACACTCAAATGAGACATAGAATGTCATTCCATCATTCGCTTGAGCGCTATTATTATTTAATGCTTGCTAAATTTGCAAAAGCATTTTAAAAGCTCGACTAAAAATGATTTAATTGAAAAAGAAATCGACGTCAATTTGCAAATCATGGTGTCACAAACCTTTTGTTTATTTAAAGTACTACCACCCTATTTCTATTTTCATGTTTTATAAATTCGAAAATTTTTAAATAAATTATGAACGCTTTATTATTACTGAATATTGATAATTAAAGTTATATTAATTACATTGCTTCCTTACGTTTTGATTTAACAGATGTATATATATAAATATATTTTGAACTTATAGATATCTACATAAATATATTTGAGACATTTTAATCGAATCGTGATTTTTAATGACTTTCTACAAAACATTTCGATCGTACGTTAGCATATGAATACTTTTAAATTAATGGATTTGATTTTTCTTGAATTGTAGCATTCACCATTGTCATTGATTGTTAAAAATATACTTTTGTGCAAAAATACTGACTATTCGAAACTTAATACAGCATTGACAAAAAAACAGCTTATACTTAGAGACTAACTTCAGTCTAATTATTGCATGACGGACCGACTGCGCCGTTCACAGCTGCTTGTCGGGCTTTGGCTGCTGCTGCTGCTGCTGCTCCTGCTTTAGCAGCACAATATCCCAGGCGCCGCCCACGCCGTCCGCCTTGGAGCACAGATCCAGGCTGATGGTGGCGCCTTCCTTGGCAGCATCGGCACGCAGACAGGTGCCTTTGGCCATGTTGTAGACGGGACTGTTGGCATTGCGCGTGTGTCGCCACTGCTGATCGCCCAGCATTTCGTGGCATTTGTTGATTATGACCAGCGTATCCGCTGCCGCCTCAAGGCACAGCAGCTTGTCCAGTATGATCTCCGATTTTTCCGTCTCGTACCACATCTGGTTGGCAGCACGCGTTCGACAGTTTTGCAGAGTCAACGAGCTGCCTTTCTTCCAGAAGCCCTTCACCTTGGGCGCCACCACAGCGGCGCACAGCTGTGTCCCGGACAGGCGCAGCTGGAACGAGTCCAGGTAGTTGCGTTTGCGCGAATGCCAGGGCTGAAATACAGGCGCCACAGCTGGCTTCTTGGACTCGTCGCCGGGCACACGCAGCTCCGGATAGACATGCTTCAGATACCAGTCGAAGTCCTTGCAATGCAAACGCTCGCGCAGCTGCAGCCGCGCGCTGATGTCACCAAAGTCATAATCCTTCGGCACCTTCTCATGCTTCAAATAGTAATCCTTGTACTTGTCCATCCAGACATGGGCCAAACGCAGCGAATTTTTCAACATGGTATTGGCGCCATCGGGCGCCGTATAGGGACGTCGCTTCCGGAATATGTGACCAACACGAGAGCAGGGCACAATCTTAATGGCGCCGCCGCATTGCCAGACGCGAAACGAGATCTCAATGTTCTCGCCGCCCCAGATATCCATGGCCATGTCGTATTCGCCAATGTGCTGGAAATACAAGCGACTCACCGCGAACAGTCCGCCCGCCATGGTGGGCGATCGAAAGGGACCCTTGAAATCCTCGGGCACCTTGAGCGTGCCCTCGGGCAGATTTTCCCAGCGAAAGTGCAGTCCCCAGTTAAAGCCGCCGCGAACCAGCGGACTGGGAGTGTACTCAAATGTGTCCGCATTGATGAGATCGATCACGGGCACCGCCAGCGTCGCATTCTCAGCGTGGACCAGGCGCAGAAGTGGCTCCAGCCATTGGCGATTCACCTCGATGTGCGAGTCCAGAAAAACCAAAACATCGCCGTTGGCATCGCGTGCACCAATAACGCGGGAGCGTATCAGACCCTCGCGGCGCTCATTGCGCACATAGCGCAGATTGTCGTACTTGAGTCGAGCGTGCAGATCCGCCAACAGATGAAATTCCAGCTCCGGCAAATCGCTGTTGTCGTCCACCAGAATGATCTCCTTTAGCAGATGGCCCGGCGTACGCTCCAGCACCGTTTTAATGGAGCGCATCAGCGTCATTTTGTGTTCATTGTAGAAGCACATAATAACCGACGCCTGTGGCAGCTGTTCCGGCTCCAATGGCTCCTCGCGCTTGCACACCTTGTGCCGTGTATCGGGTATATCCCGGTAGAGACCAATGTTATTCGATACAAGTGCATTGAACGCATGATGTTTGTAGCCAATGTCGCGTATGTACTTGTCCTGCTTGTTGCGCACCACGCCCAGCAGCTCGAACTGATCCTGCGCCGCCGCCCCCGCTGACGCAGCGTGCGTGGTGTTAAGCGAGGTGGGCGAACACCCAACGGTTACCTGTGCCTGATAGCTTAACTCCGCACGGGGCGTTGCAGAGTTATTGAAGCGCCAGCCAGCCGCCGGAATGGAACTACGCAGATGGTGCATGTAGGCCAACAGCGCCAGCATCCACACGCCCGCAATGAGCAGCGTGCCGAGGGTGCAGGATTTGCATAGCAGACGCTTAATTTGCATCATATGTTGTTTAGCTGTCGTATGCTTAACGATTAGCGCAGATTTCATCACAGCGAGGCCAAAAAAACCGGAATTTGTGCCATGTCGTCAACACAAATCTTGCATTACCAGCGCTGCCTTAATTAAATTCAATTAATTTGCATACTTGATATCGATAGTTCGGCTATCGATATCGAGCGTTGCCATCCGTGCGTGCACCAGCTCGTGAGAGCGCATTCGTTGGTTTTTGATTGGATGGCTATAACTGGTTACTAACCTTTCTACGTTATTGCCTATGGTTTTGTGCATATATATATAAGATTCACAAATATTAGGCCGTCTTTATTTTGGAATCTCTTGGTGTACAAACGCTATTTTAATTTAATCATGTTGAAAGCCTTGGTTGTTAACAGCTTTGACAGCGTTGCCACATGTTTGTATGTGCGCACTGTAACCAGAGCCTAAGCGCGCACTCGTTAGTCTTTTAATTTGGAATACGTACTTTTCTTGGGTTTTATAAATATTTTTTGTTTATTACCTATAGCATTTTGTGTTAAATACGTCTTTAATATTCATATAACATTGCTCGCCCAATTATGCACGTTTACAATACACAACATTCAACAAAATGAGCATAAAGGAGTTACAAATTCATATTATAATATATACATATTATTTCTAACAAATTTTTGTATTTAGAACAAAAAAAATATGTGTAAAATGTTCAATGTAGAAAGTATATTGAAATAAGAGACATTCCAACATTTGCATAATTTTCTTTTCTAAATATCAAAACAGTTTCATAGCTTTTGCAACGATTAATGAGATGTAATGCAACAGTTGAATTTAGCTATTTAATTTTCTATCAATAGCTTACTAGATATTACACAGATATCTAAATGTCGGGGACGTTTATATATTTTGGTTGTTTGTTCACACTTTTTCACGACTTAATCCAATCATTTAACTACATACATATGTATTTTTTGTTTTCATTATCATTGCATATTTGTTTACGTGTTGGTTTTAGATAGATAAGAAATCAATATGATTATGAGTTGCACTAAATATTAAATTTCGATTGTTTATAACTATGTGTGTAAATAAAGTTAATACATTTAACACGAGCACTGATCCTTGGCATGCGTTGCCTCGCTGCTGAGAGATGGACGTGACGGTTGCGAGGGTCGATGCTGCACACCCGATTCGGATGCATTTAAATCCAGGCGACCCTCCTGTATATTTTGATAGATCTTGCGTGCCGTTTCAAGAAAGGCCTCCTCCACATTTTGACCACTAAATTAATTAGAAATGCATCTAAGAATAAGATATTTTTGTTATATATCTGAATATTTACGTCATGGCGCTGGCTTCCAAAAACATGAGACCATTCTCATCGGCGAATTCCTTAGCCTCTTCGTATGTTACCTCGCGTGTGCTCTCCAAATCGGATTTATTGCCAATGAGAAAGATCACAGTGCTGGGATTTGTGAGATTGCGCGTATCGGTGAGCCAGCTGCTCAAATGATTATATGTGGAGCTGCGAACATTGTTTGGTTTATTTTAGTAATACATTTACTTGCGGATCATTGAGGTGACTTACCGCCTGGTTATGTCGTAAACCATTAAAGCACCAGCAGCACCGCGATAATACGAACGTGTCACAGCACGAAAGCGCTCCTGACCGGCCGTATCCCAAATTTGTAGTTTGATTTTCTTGTCATCAACCTCAATGATCCGTGTACCAAACTCCACGCCAATTGTGTGCGGACAGTTGGCCATAACTGTGGATTAAAATATGTTTAGTGGTACGTTTAAGAAACAACAAGCCAAAAGCGTGTGAAACAGGTATTCGAAACGGAATATCTATTACAAAGCAGTGTATTCCAAATATATATTATTTCATTTCCTTTCAAAAGGGAAGAAGAATATAGGAATGCATGTATATTCTATTTTGTACATCCAATTTATTTATACTTTATTTTGCGGTCCTCTGTCTTTAATGAATTTTTTTTAAATATCTTTAAAATGGATCGGAAAAATCCCAAAAAATATGGATAATTGATTTTCACTCTTGTGGGAGTGTTTGAAAAACTCATCAATCAGTCAGGCAATCAGTCAGATTCACTTTTATTTATATATAGATAAATACATAGTAGTAGTACTTACATTTCTTCTCGGTAAACTGATGCAGCAGACAGGATTTGCCTACGCCCATGTCACCAATTATGATGTACTTAAAAATATAGTTGTAGTTATAGGGTGCTGCAGTCATATTGGGACCTGTGGATTGATGTTAAGCATAATTTTTTTTTTTAATATGTGCTCAGAGCAAGGTTTCCTCAATTAGGTAACTCGCACATTTCTCTATCAGATAATCAATGCGTTCGTAGAGTTTGTTAACAACACTCCGCATTTTGTGCCGTTTCACATCCATTTTGCTGCCTCTTTG